ATATATGCAAATATATAAATACATATATATTGTATATGTATATACAATATATTTGTGTATGTATATTTGTGTGTATATGTTTACATGTACAAAAATATACAACATTTCTTTTGAGCCATAATGAAGGGCAACAGGTTTGAAAAGTAACTGCAGTAATTGCATACCAAAGTAACATTGCATACCACCGGTGATTGTTAAACACGGCCATCTTCCCTGTTGCCTAATAAATTTAAATATTCATATTTTCTCATATTTTCATAAATTCTCCTCAAAACTTTAATGTTTTCCATTCTGATCAGTATTAAACACCATGTTAATGACCAACCATCAGCTAGGATATTCATATTCCAATCAGTCTGTGAACATACCTGCCTTTGTCTTCTTGCACTGGATGATTTCTTTCCCCGATGAGTCACAGGCAAATCCTGTCCTGCAGCCTCTGTGTTCCTTCCAAACCAGTTTAATGTTCTCATCACTTCTCCTGTTGCCATTGTGAATGTTAATCGAGGGATAATGCTTCCTGCTGTGATTGTGTTTTCCGGAGGCCTTCGTACTGTTGCTAATTTAACTTCTGAAAGTCTAAAAAAAAAAAACAAACCCAGATGCTTAATGATGCTCAGCTCACTAAGGAAATGATGTGTGCTACCCACACAGGATTAATGACCCACAGGCGTTCGCACAACCACCAACGTCACGTTTCTCTAAGGATCCAAGGCTTTTATTTGGTGCCATTTTTCAGAGAGACTCATCGATGCTTCCACACAAGGAGGTTATTAGTAGCACATGCAGCTAATCACATGGGTCACACCCCCACGGCTGTTATAGGTAGAAATAGACAACGATCATTTCATCATTTTCAGCATTTAACTAAAATAAAGCCACACTGTTTACAAGCCACTGATTACATGTTGCTGACTTCATACCTGAATATATGGATGTTTCTGCATTCTTTTAGAAAATTTGTGGCAATATTTGGATTCTTTTTTATTATTTTACCATCATTTTTATAAAGTTTATAGTTGAAGTGAGCTCCTTTGCCCCCTCCAACTCCCTTCTTTTTTATTTTTTACAAAAAACTAATTGTAATCAACAGATAAGTTTAAATACCCCACAATAAGCATTGTACATATTGTGATTGTCAACTTTCAGATAGGCTCTGTTTAAATGTATTTATTTAAACAGTTCAGCTATTTTGCCACTAGATGGCAATAAGAAACCAATTCCTTTCTTTTTTCTTTTTTAATAAACAAACATTATGAAGAACAACTACATATGAAGTATAAGCAAATCGTTCTAGGAACAGTAACTTTAACTGAAAAAATGAATTGGCTTATTTCTGTTTTCTTTATGTTTCACACAACATTGAATTGTATTGATATTCTCAGTTTTAGATGATGTAGAAGCTCCGTGACTGATCCAACAGTTGCTCAACTCCAGTCTCTTCAATCAGGGTCGGGCTCTTCATCAGTTGACAGTGTGTTTGTGTTCATCCACAAACATCCTTAGAATAAGTTGCTGGTTAGACATCAGCATGTCGTAAGTGTCCTAAGTGTTTGAAAGTAGGACGTTCTGTAAAGAGACAGTTTTGAACTGATCCGTGTTCAGACAGGGGAACCGAGGAGCGGTTGCTTCCCATGTGGTGGGCCCTGTGAGGGACCTATGGCTGACTGTTCGTTGTGTAACCTGGCCAAGATGATGACTGTCTGTTTGGACTGTCTCCACTCGTTGTACATCCGACAGCGATGACGAAGAGACACCTTTGAGAGACACAGTGGATATTTGTTAGACTTTCAATAAAAACAGACAGAGAGAGATAGTTCTGCCTAATTTTAAATTAGGCAGAACTAGAAGATCAAACTTGAGACAAAATTTGATTATATCAGGATACAGTAGAGCAGTTCCACATACACAATCAATGTAAATGGCGTGACAGCATGTGATTTAGGTGGCATCGCGCCGTCATTATTCATGATTGATCAAGATTGACATTTCTGAATATAAACCTTACAAACGTTCCCTGTATATTTCTGGAACAGAAAAAAAGAATATCAGCGATAGATGGTTGTTGGCTACACCTGTTTTTATAACTGACTAATCCAGGCCTAGGCAAACGGGCCAGATTAAAAAAACAAACGGGCCACATCCGGCCCCCATGGCCGTAGTTTGCACATGCCTGAACTAATCCAACAAAAAGAAATCAATAACATGAAAAAAGTCCAGGAAAAAAAATCTAAATTTCTCGTCATAGAATTATATTTAGTCATTACTGTGCTTTTTGACTTTGAAAATGTTTGTGGAACATTTCAAGAGTTGCTGCATGGCACAACAGTCTGGTGTTTTTTTGTTGTTGGGGTGAAACAAAACGTTTTTCCCACAGGGTGGGACTGTATTGGAGCAATGATAAGTGGCTGGACAACTTAATCTGATTATTTTACAAAATAATATGTACTATGCCTTTATGTTCAATTAGTTCATCATACAAACCAGAGTCCAGAAAAGGTAGATGGTGAAGAGGGCCACAGTCAGTGCGATGAGGCCCAATGCTTCTAGTCTGCTGGTCATGTAAAGGTAATCCATGGCTCCACGGAGGCACAGCCAGACAGAGGCTGTGGCCAGGAGCGTGATGAACAGGAAACACACCATGTCCCCAAACAGACTCGGCTTTCCTCGACGAACTTCCGGCCTCTCCATCCACTACACCGCCACCAACAAGAGGATGGATGATAAGAGTCACTGATTTTTACGGACTGACCTTTTCTCCCTGATTGACCTCTCTGACCTCTCTGATTGACCTACCTCCATTTGCATCCTGGACTTCTTCTGTACAATGAAATGTTGGTGGCAGAGCTCACAGAAGGTTGTTCCTGAAGAGGAGAGCCAGTGCTCCAGACAGCTGCGATGAACGGTGGCCAAACTGCCTGAACACTGACAGGGGGTCAGCAGTTCCTCCTGGACGTCACTGTCATAACAGATGCGGCATATGGCGCTGTCAGGCGTCGCGCTAATCAAATGCAGAATGGAGGAGACAGTTCAACAGCTAACATCACTTGTCTCTAACAAAAGTGTCTCTGAAAAAAAAATGTTTTCTGTTTCATCAAAAGAAAAACCAACAGTAGTTACTGACACTCTCTGACATTATCTTACTCAGTACTAGAACATTTTGATGGTCCCAGTTGGTCTGCTTACAACTTGGATACTCACTATACCAGAGCAAAATGTCCCCACAAAACAAAGTGTCCTCCCCACAGAGCTCCGTTTGGCATGACAACACCAACACTGCTCTCACACATATACAGTACCTACCATTGCTGAGTTTGTATGTCCGTTCCTGTGGAGATGAGCTGACCATCCATCTTAGTCCAAACTTGAGGTTGTCCACTGACAGGCTCACCACGCTGCTCTGTAGGGTCAACAAGAAGACACACCTGGTCTGAGAGTCCACACATGGATTCAGAGGGTTGGCACAAATACATGTACAAATCCATTCAAGAGTTGGTGGCTCAGCTCTGCTGCCCTGTGTGTGTGAATGTATGTGTGTGTGCGTTTGTGTGTGTTTAAAAATAGCATTACAAAACTGCCTGTGTCTGTTTGCGTTCTGCCATTTACCAAATGGACACTGGAGAATTGGGGGGGTCAGAGATTATCTCAAAGTCAGCAAATAGCAGTTTAACCTACTTGTTTGGTGCATGTGCAAAATGTGTCACATGTCCAATATGTCGGTGAACATTCCACACACAACGTTCTATATACTGACAACTGTATTCTTACACTTTCACAAATATAAATCGACTTCATGTAAAATGTAGATTTAGAAAATATCGGAGCAGCGAATACTTATTTTCCGGACTACGACTCGCTTTTTTTCCCATCATTTGGCTGGGTTTGCGACTTATATATTAAAATATATAATTTCATATGTTCGTTTTTTGACAGCCACTAGAGGGCACTCTAGGCTTGTGTACCAGTACCAGCTACTCCTGTACCACTGAAAATGTACATGTTTGTTATCTCACACTGACAGCCACTAGAGGGCACTCTAGCTGGCTGGTGCAACTTATACTCTGGAGCAACTTATAGTCCAGAAAATACGGTACAAGACTTACAATTATAATGCCTTAGGGATTGCCAGAAATTTGTGATATCAAAATGGGGTCACAAGCCAAAACTTGGGAGTTATGAAATAGTTTCCTATCGTATGTCTTGATATCTAGAAGTCTCTCATCCAAGACCGAAACCAAGACAGTCCAGTTAACTGATATTCATTTTATAGATGGCAGGTAGATTTTAGCCACTTTTGTTGCATGGCTAAAATCATGCTTGGCCCTGTCAACACATGTTTTCCTTCAAGAAAAAATGTTTCCAGATGGTTCCTATAATCATCGTCTTCCATCAACCTCTCCTCCACCCCTCAAAACAATCGTTCACAATTGGCATGAAAGTTGTCGAGAACAGAGTAAACCATGCTGTCGGCACTAAAGTTATTAAGTTGGTGTAACTAGGGAAGTCCTGTGGCATTGATTCAATAATGGTGGAGCTGACATCCCTGTATGCCAAGATGCTATGCTAACTCCAAACTTTTATTTAGAGTGTACCGCAGTAAGAGCGCTCGAGATCAAGTCAATGAGTCTCGTTGTGTCACTTCCTAGTTCAGCCAACAGTTTGGATGCATCGTCAATTTCACACTGAACTCAAATCTGGATTTTAATCCTGGTCTTTTCCTGCTACTGCTTGAAATTGCTGTACAACCGATCTGTAAACAATGCACTGCACCTGCTGCCTTTAACATAACAAGCCAGTTACAAACAGTAACACCTGTACCAGACACACATAACACTGTTGATCTATAAAAAAAAAGTACAAAAGTATTGTATTCTGTTAACCTCATATCAGAAAAACAAGACAAGGGAGAGAGTAAATGGAAAACCTTTACCTGAGGCAGAAATCTCCTGACACTCCTCCACTCACTGTGTCATTAGATATACCTGGCCAAAGTTCCTCTGTAATCTGTATTGTGTCACATGGTTCTGTTGAATGGGTTGTGTAGCTCGTCCACTGACACCAGAGTTAATTGTTGATATCTGTCTAAGACCATCTTACTTTCCCACCTAGCTTTCAGCTAAGGAACAAAACCAAACAAAAAAAAACAACATATACTGTAGCTAAACAAATGGATATTTGATTTAAGCAGAAGTCACTGTCACCAACAATATTTATTACAATAAATGTGTCACTACTTTCTCTATAAAACTGCGCAGGAATGAGGAAGGACTAAAGGTCACAGCCAGTAACAGCTGCCTCACCTTTTACAGACAGGAAATGTTTGTTCTACATTAAAACACATGTAAAAAGTTTTTTTAAAAAAAGTCTCCACAAGGTTTTAGTCTCACTCCTTTGTGATTTTGGAAATAAGAGTGCCCTTCTGTATGAGGGACAGTCAAAAAAGTTATAAGTATTTCTCTACATCAGTGATTCTCAACCCCTGTGCCCTGGCACACTGGTGGGTCGTGACAGACCACTAGGTGGCAGTGGGAAATTATCCAATGTCATTAACTTGGGCTGAAAACTATTATTTATTTATTGCATATTATTTTTCTTTGCTCGTCAAAGCATGGAAGGGAGAACAATTCAATCCTCTTCTGCTAGGTGGCAGCAGATGGCCAAACTAAAAAAAAAAAATCAGAGCTGTTGAAGAAGTTCTTTGTGAGTGTCTTTCTTCAATTCCTGCCAGTATGTCAGCGTTGTCTTCAACTAAACAGTGAGGTCAATGAGGTCATTTAAACTAGAAGATTATTGTATTTCATTACATATACTTTTTGTGAGGTTTCCACCTGGTGGTGTGCTGTGGGGGTTTGCCTGATGATATAGAGTATATGTGCCGTGGCTCACAAAAGGTTTGGAAACACTGCTCTACATGTCCACTAAACAGTTATGCTGTCATCTGAGAATCACTTTTCTATCAAATGGTGTGGAACGTCTAAATGCAGCAGGTCAGGACCTGCGTCTACAGGACAGAAATTGACTGTACTTTTAACTTCAACCTTTGCTGTTTCTGTACATTGATTTACAACCATTTGTGTTTAAGTATTGTGAACACTGTGACGATCTAACTGCACAAGGAACTCTCTAAAGTACTGTGACCGAAACCTGTGGTTTTCCAGAACTGCACAAGTCACTGTTTCCCACTCTGTTATGTATTTACATGATATTTACCCAGGGACCGATCCATGTCCTGAGATATTGTGTTAATAGGTAACTCACACACTTCTGTGTATTCACACACACAAACAGGGAGAGAAGGGCCAGAGCAGCTAACAATGAACAATACATCAGAATGAACTCTTAATATGTCATAGTCGTGCTGCGATGTCTGATATAAATGTTTGAACTATATATACTGTATATTTATATCTAAACCTATATGAAATATGAGCAACATTGTTCTGCAATAGAAGCCAAAATAAAAGATGAATTGTTTGTTTTGTAGACAGCAGACAGTCATGCAGCAGTCATGAAAAATCTGTGATAACTGGTGACACCACTAGATGTCACTAGTTATCACAGATTTTTACAGTCGACCTATTAAAACAGACACAAACACACGCATTTTTCTTTTCAACTGTTTTCTTCTTATTATTATTATTACTATAATAATTATTATTAGGATAATTGGCAATATAACAATGAACACGGTGTCTTGTCACATGACACATGACAGACCTAACTTTATACATTTTTTTAGTAGTGATTTTGGTGGTAAATTATTTTAAAGTGAGCAGATGAGTCCACTAACAGTGACCGGTTAATCTACACACACACACACACACACACACACACACATATATATATATATTCTGTGTGTATTTCTTTATACATTACTCCATTTTCCTCTGTTATATCATTGCTTTTTATCTCATTTCTAATTTTGAAAATACCAAGACCACTGACACAAATGTGTTTTGTAAATTTGGACTACAACAAAAATTGACTTCATTTTTGTTGAGCTCTTCCCCCAGTGAGTCAGCGCCCTCCAGCGGCAGCCTGGCCACATAGCCCCACTGCTGATCCTTCCAGATATCATTACCCAGTCCTGCCATCCCCTTTCATGTTCTTTATTGTTTGATTGTTTGCATTTCACGCTGATAGGTGTTACCCACACCCCACACTGAAAACTCTCCCTTTTTATGCAGTTAGCATCAGTTTTCTATCCTACTGCGTTCCACATTTTACCATCCACCTGCCAGGACTCTTCTGTTCTCCTCACCTCTGCAGCACACAGTCAGCAGGCCACGCCCATCTCATTAGCTCAGTCCTGCTCACCTGTGTTTCCATCTGTTACTCATCAGGGATCAGCCCTCGAAATACTGTAAGTCTCTGCTCTGCTCAGGTTCTTTGTAGGATTGTTCTTCACGTTCTTCCTACAAGACTCTCTGGCGTTTTACGGACTGGGTTCTGAGCCAAAAAAAAAACTAAAACATTTTTCCCGGGAGGCCAGTTTGGCCCTGGACCCCGGGTGGGGTAGGACCGCCACTGTCTGCGTCAGCGTTTGTCAACCACAACAGGCAGAGACAGAGACACAGAGCCCTGTCTCCTCCGCGCTCACGCCAGTCCTGTCCCCTGCTCTCTGACTGTCTTCACCGTGTCCTTCTAGTGCGTCACTGCCGCGGACATGCTTCCGTTCCTGGGACTACTGTCAGCTCTGCTCGCGGGTGTTTTCTCGGTTTACTTTTTACAAAAGTTCTGCTTCCCCTACTTTTGGAGAGACCTTACATTTCTCCTGAAGGCGATAAAGTACGGCGCGAGGCTGGAGCTGCTCAAACACTCCTCCACCATGCCCACGGTGATGGGGAGATTCGTGCAACAGGCGCAGCGTATCCCCAACAAGCCGTTCGTCATCTGCGAGGGAAGAGCGCTCACCTACCGCGAGGTGGACGAGCGCAGTAACCGGCTGGCACACGTTCTCCTCGGGCGAAGCTCTCTGGAAAAGGGGGACTGTGTCGCTTTGCTCATGAGCAACGAGCCCGACTTTGTGTGCGTGTGGTTCGCCCTGGTCAAGATAGGCTGCTCGGTGGCTTTCCTTAACACCAACATCAGGTCCAAATCCCTGCTGCACTGCATTCACTGCTGCGGAGCCAAAGCTCTCATCGTGGGTTCAGGTAAGAAAAGAGAAAAAATCTGTTAATTCCTGCCAGTCTGTCCGTTTGTGTCATTTATACTTTTCATGTAGCTAGTACTACTGTAATATTCAAATTGGGGGGGAAATACACATGTAAATAAACGTGTGTGTGTGTGCGTACGTTAGATTTTATCCTTTCATTGATTTTCTAAAGTTTAATTATTTTCGTGGGTCGTGTGGTGGGTGTCAGTCCCAACAGTCATTTGACTAAATCAAGTTGCACCCCAGATCAGAGGTCACCAACATGGGGCCCCGGGGGCACCTGTAGCCCCCATGGACTACCTAAGGTGCCTACAGGGTATGTTCTAAACAAGCGGGTCAACAATTGTACTCTTACTGTGCTTTTTGAATCAGTTACACTTGCAATGATGTTCTAATGTGTGCAGAGACGATGGTAAGAAGAGTGTCTACTGTTGTATGTCCCAGAACTGATCATTATTACATTGGTCGGGTCACGGATCAACCAAACCTTTTTGATCTCCTACCACGGGCGTTAGGGCCAGGGTTTAGGAAATAAAATATGTATGTAGTAACTTCATGAGATGACAAAGTCACAAGTGGAATGGAAAATGTAATGTTATGAGAAAAAAGTTGTAGGTTTTCATAATAAAGTTGATATATTACAGAAAAAAGACACACTATTGGTGAGTTGAAAATCTAAGGCTATACCAAATCTTCTAGCAGTAGTAGATCAGGAGCATGTGTATATATATGTGTGTATATATATATATACAGTATATATATGTATATGTATATGTATATGTATATATATATGCGTATATATGTGTGTATATGTATATACAGTATGTATATGTATATACAGTATGTATATGTGTGTATTTATGTATATATATGTGTATATATGTATGTCTCCAGTGTGTAGCAGTGACCATTTACTCTAAGACTTGAATCATTTTGTGTCACACAGCTACAAGCATTACCTCAACATATAACATATATACAAAGTATATTCAATTTATATGAGTGAATATATGTTTAACGTTTTCAATATATGTTAGTCACTTTAACCTGGTCATTTTAAATGGTAACTCCCAAGCCAAGAAAGTGTGGACACTCCTGCTCTACGTCCTCATGGTGGTTTATTTGGAATCAACCAAATGTCTACTGGGAAGTAGTACTTCACAGGATGCTTTATTTTTCCTAAATGAAGTAATGCTGCTTTCCATGTTCCACCACAGAAACCTTGTATCTACAGTTAATAGGGTTTCCCATGCTGCTGCCATGTGACAGGGCGACAGACCAGGGCAAAACCTAACAAGAATGTTTGTCAGAGAAACTGCACTCAGTACAACCTCAGTACTACAGGACAAGTATTCATGAAGTAACCGATAGACGCTGATGGGAAAAACTGCGTTTCCACTAAGTTGAAAACATTGATTTGTGATGGTTGTAAGTTACAAACAATATAAATCAACAAAAATTAAAGCCAGGTTTTAGGTGTAGTTTATGAATATAAAAATGTTAAGTAAAAGTATTTGTTAAGAAAATTCTTAATGGTTACAAAATGTGGGTTTTTTCATCAATTTGTTTACTTTCCAAAAAAAAAGAAATGCTAATTTGCATGCTATATAAATGCTAAAGCTAATTGGTAATTTTAGAAAACAACACAGAACATAATATACTCAAATACCTGACATATTAAAATACCTTGTACACACAAATAAAAACATATATAATGTCTCTCCAATCCCAATCCCGGGGGTGTGTCTTCATAAGCCTCAGGTCCTCTTTCCTAAGAGTTTTCCTACGCAGTATTTTAGCTGTTTCCAGACTCCTAGCACAGACCTCAGATGAACACCCACAGCATTCTAAACACCAGTTACACCAGCAATGACTTCACTCCCGTCACATCATCTTCTCTATCTCCTTTCTCCAGCTCCTGTTAATCTTTAGACCTCTAATGTTACTTCTTGATTTTCATTGTGTCACTGTGGCTCCTGACCTGTACAGTACAATCAGTACATCAACTGTTGCTTCTTAACCACAACCACGTCAGGTGGGTTGGCCTTAGGTTTTCACAGTTTGTTGATATGGAATTGTAAGACCCAAAGGAGCTTAGTTGGGTAATTTTTGAGGACTTAGAAGGTCTCCATCTGTCTGATCCTGAGGTTCTCATGTTATACAACACAAGTGTTCCTCTCTGCATTTCTAGCTACCTGGTTGCGTTGTCCAGCGGATGCTGTTCTTGTCAGCATTTCACCAACAGTTTGTGTTTTGTCATAGTCCAGTGTGATAGCCTACAGCCACTCCAGTTTGTATTTTGTACTGACTGTCTGTTCTTAGGCAGCCGTGGTAAGAGTAGTCTGTGCTCTGTACTCTGCTAGAAGTCGTGCGTACATAAGAGATACCAAACGATTATCTTGCCTGCAGTGTTCACCGAGGAGATTGTTCCTCCATTTTATTTGTAATAATAATAATAATGAGATGTCCGATATTATCGGCCCGATATTAGCATATTATGTAATATCTGGGTGGGGCTTTGGCTCAGAGGCAATGCCATTGGTGTAGAACCCCAGGATTCACCTCCTGGACAAGATTGAATCCCAGTTGTGGCAGATGAAGCCTTCTAGTGGGCTGGTAGGCTGCAGTGTGGTTTGGGCGGCGGTCGTGTAGACTGCTGCTCCTGCGCCCGGTTACATAAGCGGATGTAAATGGTTGGATGGATTTAATATCTGTAAGAATCATTATTGGTTTTTCCTTCGATAATGAAAATGTGATAACGCAATGCCTGGGTGTCACCAAATGATGTGTGCCCTAAAAATAGATTTGGGGATAAACGTCTGTATATTCAAGTGAAAGTCACTAGATGGCAGCATTGAAGCTCATTTAATTAATCTCATACTCATGCAGTGGTTTGTACAGATAAATAAATATTACCAGGCCTGTATCGGTTGGAATTGGAAATTAAGTGTTTAGACAATATTGATATATCGGATATTGCCAAAAAGTTAATATCGGACATCCCTAGTTTGTCCCACAATAGGGGAAAAAAATACAGTGTGAGTCTCTGCAAACAATGCCATTAAGTATGTGTTTGCTGATACAATATCACTGATGCTGAATGTAGAGGGGAATCCATCCATACATTAAGCCCGTAATGTCCTAAAGCCTTCTTGCCTAGCTGATTACTGTCTAGCAGGAGATCTGAAGACCAGAGGCGCAAACGTGTCGACTTGTTGTTAAAAAATTGATCTACAGCTGTAATCCTAGTTCTCTGTATGTTATCAGTTTAAATAAAAATACAAACTTCTAAATTATCCTGGCCTGTTTTCTGAGGGTGTCTCCCAAATTGCTGATTGTAGCAGGAGACAAAACAGGCTCTGAATGTTGCATTGTTCAGCGAGAGGTGAGAGGGAGTGGTGTCTTGAATGTGGACCTTCCTGTTTACGGCAAACCTAGGTTGAACCTCTATCCTTGGTCCAACACCATGTTCTGAGTGTTCTGTTAGATTTTTTTTTTGCTACAAAGTCAAAAACCTATGTACTACTCGCATACTTACTTTTATTTGTTTTCCAATTTGAAATGCTGACAATAAGAGGTGGGTTCACCATGCTTAGAGTGCTGTCAAAAACTTTAAAATCATGGCAGACTGACAGACAGATAAATTGATAGAACTTTATTAATTTAAAAATGTTCCAGCAGCACATTGGCTCCATAAAAATTAATTAAAATGTTTATTGTACATTCAATGATTTATAAATATAAACTTCAGGCAGAAAATATGGTAATGTGTACAAATTTACGACCTTTAAAAAACATGGACCAACACTGCCTGCATATTCCACTCTGTTTTGACGACGTTACATTTGGACAACATCTTGGAATATCAGGGACGGAAAAGGACGATGTCTGGAAACTCTTGATCCATTTGAGGAAAGAGCACAACTCTGTGGATGAGTTTAGGGTTCCTGTCAAGGGGAGAACATCCAGCCGGGCCCATGTATGTTTAAACTACATTTGAAAAAACGAATCTAAGCTGGAAGTGTCGGGTGATGTTGTGATGACTTCCAAGTCGACCGTCTCTAGGCAACAGGAATGCATTCATACAGAGAGGGAAATCCCAGAGCTCTTTGGATCCTCTGAAGACACTGTCCCCAAATGATGAGAGACCACCCCCCCTCCCCCACAAAGTGTACACAAAGATATGATTGGACGCTTCCTAGAGAATACATGGTAGATAATGGTAGATAATCGCGCTGAGCAGCAGGTCCAATGGTTCCTCTTCAGAGGAAGGGTGTTGTGTCCCATAAAGAAACCTCCCCCATATGACGGTAGAGACGAGAATGTCAACCTATTAAAAATGCACATTTTGAACAGTTTTTTAAAAAATGTTGTGGATTTAAAATAACTTTTAATAATTTAATCTTTATTCCACAGATTTTTAAATACAATTTTAAAAATTCACTGATGCTGACCAATGAAATGTTATTATATTATAAAATAACAGGAAATAGGACACGAAATCACTACAAAATGTCTTAATATGCCCAACACATCATCAGAAATTATCATTCATTTCCTAATCTGCTACAGATACACGTTAACGCCTCAATAATCGAGTGACTAGCAGATAATATTATGCATTTATACTGCTATCTTATTTTTTTATTTATTTAAATTTACTCCGACGCCTGTCTGAACGGATAAAGGAAATGAATTCACTTTGAGTTTTTTGTTTTGTTTGTCCTTATCTATCAGATTTGGTGGAATGCCTCGATGGAATCTTCAGCAACCTTCAAGAGCAGAACATCCAGGTGTGGACAGTGACGGACCACAGTGAGAATACTCTGGTTCACACTCTGTTGGATAAGATTGATGTAGTGTCCCACCACCATGTTCCAGCCAAGCTGCGTGCTGCCAAGTCCCTGAAATCTCCCATCCTGTACATCTTCACCTCTGGAACCACCGGTGAGATTTTACAGTTTTTGTGTTATACACTACCATGGACATGTTATTATTTGATGTAGTTGGATTTGCACTGATGTGAAGCTCTTTATGGGGTAGCGTTTGGCTAACTTTATGGCCCATAACTGGACTGTGTTTTCACACCGTGACACAGTGTTTGGTCATTTTTTTACTCAACGTTGTTTTCAGTTTATTTATATGAGTGTTTCATTGGCGACAATGTTTTATGTTTTATTTTGTTTTTGTTTTTTTGTTTTTTTCACAGGGTTTCCAAAAGCAGCAGTGATCACACACCTCCAATGTTTAAAGGCAGCAGGAGGCTTTTGGTTATTTGGTGCAACCAAAGATGATGTCATTTACATTCCTCTCCCACTCTACCACAGTGCTGCTTCACTGATCGGCATTGGAGGAACCATTGAATTAGGTAGGCGTCTGAATATCTTCTGTGATCTTCTACACATTAAATCGTTGCGTGGTCGTTCGGATCCCGGCCTTCATACCTTGCCCTCGCCTGATAACCGTCAACTGTGAGGAAACAACAACCATTCACTCACATTCATGACAGCTGACCAAACCTGACTGACTTTAGACGGTGGGAGGAAACCAGAATAACTGGAGTAAATCCACTACACAGGAAACAATACCATCAGTTACCAGTAGGAGTGGAACTGGTGATCTTGCTCTAAGGCAGTGGTTCTTAATTATTTTTGGTGCATATTTCCCACCCTGAGGGAGAAAAATCCCCCCCCCCCCCCCCCCCCCGACCCACACCCCTGCGAATTGAAATACTATTGAGTATCTGATAATGAAATGTATATTTTTATCTGTACAAATCACTGTATGAGTTGCTGCCACCTAGTGACTGGAGGTTTGTTGTCATTCAAGCGTTACAGCAGTGGTACACTGATGTCCAGCGTGCCATATTCTATTGGAAGACCCTCACGCTTTCTGAGTGCTAAATCACCTACAGTACTTCAACGTGGGTCTTGGTTAAGGCCACTGCAAGTCTCAGACCCTGGAGGTCAGCAGGTCACCAGAGTCTGGAATGAGTTCATTTTCGTGGTTGACAAATCCTAATGTTGTCTTCCAGCAAACACAAATGTTTGCAGTTCATTGTCCTTCACTGCTCCACACGGCGTTCTAACAGGCTGTCCTAGTCGATTAAAGGGCCACTGACCTCAGGCCTCTGAGTTGCAATAAACTTTATTACCTCCTTAGATGACACATTTTCGGTGGAAGGTTAATCAGCTAATCAGCCTCTTTTACCTTCTCTACACACTGAAAATGAGTGAAAAACTACAAGAAGAAAAAATAGTGGCAAACGTTCAAATTAACATTATTTTCTTAACAGTGTGCATACTGTACAAGTGGAGATGTTCTAGTTCTTTCTTGTCACTGCAGTCACTCGCACATTCTGTATGCAAAGAAAACGTTCAGGTGCGATTATCAAAACAAAAACCCACACCATCGTCATGCAAAAGTCCAGCTTCTCCACCCGCTGTCAGTTTAAGTTTTCTGTGGAAATGTTGTTGTTTGAGTCATTTATCCAATCAGTGTCTTGCCCTGGTGGTGAATAAACTCTCAGTGCTGCCCCATAGAGGTCACAGGAAGCTGAGCTTCAACAGGCTTTAATACAGAGTTTGAGTGGAAAATGTGATCTGGGATAAACAGCTGATTCGTAGTGGAAGTCGTACAGTTGATCGGGGTCAGACATCCGTCCATCAATTACCTACCATTTATTCCTTTGCAGTGTCGGGGGCTGAGGGCGTATTCTATTTTATTCTGTTCATATTCTAGCTGAGATCCGATCCAGATCTGTTCACTAATAAACCTGTCTGCACTGTATATTGCTGCACATTTGTCTCGTGGAGACTAAAGTATGTTTCATTCCTTTTTGGTTAATGGAAAAAAAAATGCTGCAGACTAAGAAAACCAGTCTGAACTGTGGAGGAGCTTCATGTGACTTCCATTAGGTTTGGAGACTCAAAGTGAAAAATCCCATCTGTGTTTGAACCATTACCAACAACACTGGGAGACATTGTGTCTTTGCAATTTGTATTAGATTAGATAAGTGGGCCGGGAAGAAGGCCACACTTGAATGTCGTCTGTTTGAGCTCTGTTCTCGTTTCTCCATTTGTTTGTTCATGCACTAACAACTACTGGGCCACACAGAGTTTATTCAGCCGTATCTGATGTTAAAGAGTACAGAGCAAGCGTGTGCAAAGCAACAACACTAGTTGTTTGTTCACCTCCCAGTATGGTCAAGAATCCATTTTTATTTGTCGCACAACTTAATTACACATACACACTGTGTGAAATGTCAGATTACGATTAAGTTTATAAGAATTACGACAACATGTAAATGCACATCCCTCGAGCATCTCATAAATCCTCCAAAATTAAGAATTTGAAAATCAGACTAAACAAACTTAAGTTTGACGTCATCTCAGTCTTAAGACCAGGCAGGCTGTGACCTGGTGCAGAATCAATTTCCACAATTCTCCAAGGAAGGAATTCCGTGTTGGAGACTTGACTCCAATGAAAGATGAAAATATCATGAAATATTTGGAGGATTTTTGTTTTTTCAACAAAGATCGAAATGGTAATGTATTTGTACTTAATATATAGAGTACATGTATATATTTTGAGGATGTAAGTGTTTTTGTTGTTCGTCTTAGAAATGTGAATTTTGTATACTCTGAATATAATTATAAATGTACCTTCCAGTGGACTCACCACCCACAGGAAGGTTCAGGGGGGTTGGTACGGTGCAGTGTGATTTGGGTGGTGGTCGTGGAGACTGCTGCCCCCGTGACCTGGTAATGGATAAGGGGATGAAAATGGATGGATGGATGGATATAATTATAAATATATATATACCTGTTTATACATATTAGGTTCTGTAATGATACACTCAACTCATGATACAATACAAATGAAGATTTTTTTTTTGTTCGCGATTTCTATCACTTTTTTTTTTTTTTTTAACAAAATGAGCTCCAAACAAATGATGCCCAAATAAATGCTCATTTATTTGTAAGAACAGCAAAATACAATGTGCATCTGCTGCACATTTCTTTACAGAAACACTGTAATCCACTGCTGGTGTCCTCTTGACACTGACATCGTCGTACACCTTAACTGACAGACTACTGTAACACGGTGGTGACTGTCTTTAAAGGTTTGATACGGTTTCGTGATGTCCCCTGACGTGTAGTGAAGTCTACCAGAGTTTGTAGTCTCAGTGACTTCTTAAGATAACGCAGCTGGGCTTTTAATGGATTCATGATGGTTCATTACATCCCTAATCCATGTAAAAGTGTATATCATATTATATATAATATACCTAGCATCTGAAAGAGGAAATAAGAGAGGGGGCCAGACGCAGTGAACGACAGTGTACTATATAACATACTGAAAGAGTTGAGACTTTTCTGCCATCATTTGAAATTAAAGAAAAGTTTCATTGGTGTGTACTATTGAAACAACATGTAAATGCACATCCCTCGAGCATCTCATAAATCCTCCAAAATTAAGAATTTGAAAATCAGACTAAACAAACTTAAGTTTGACGTCATCTCAGTCTTAAGACCAGGCAGGCTGTGACCTGGTGCAGAATCAATTTCCACAATTCTCCAAGGAAGGAATTCCGTGTTGGAGACTTGACTCCAATGAAAGATGAAAATATCATGAAATATTTGGAGGATTTTTGTTTTTTCAACAAAGATCGAAATGGTAATGTATTTGTACTTAATATATAGAGTACATGTATATATTTTGAGGATGTAAGTGTTTTTGTTGTTCGTCTTAGAAATGTGAATTTTGTATACTCTGAATATAATTATAAATGTACCTTCCAGTGGACTCACCACCCACAGGAAGGTTCAGGGGGGTTGGTACGGTGCAGTGTGATTTGGGTGGCGGTCGTGGAGACTGCTGCCCCCGTGACCTGGTAATGGATAAGTGGATGAAAATGGATGGATGGATGGATATAATTATAAATATATATATACCTGTTTATACATATTAGGTTCTGTAATGATACACTCAACTCATGATACAATACAAATGAAGAATTTTTTTTTTTTTTTTTTTGCGGTTTTCTTCCCTTTTTTTTTTTTTTTTTTAACAAAATGAGCTCCAAACAAATGATGCCCAAATAAATGCTCATTTATTTGTAAGAACAGCAAAATACAATGTGCATCTGCTGCACATTTCTTTACAGAAACACTGTAATCCACTGCTGGTGTCCTCTTGACACTGACATCGTCGTACACCTTAACTGACAGACTACTGTAACACGGTGGTGACTGTCTTTAAAGGTTTGATACGGTTTCGTGATGTCCCCTGACGTGTAGTGAAGTCTACCAGAGTTTGTAGTCTCAGTGACTTCTTAAGATAACGCAGCTGGGCTTTTAATGGATTCATGATGGTTCATTACATCCCTAATCCATGTAAAAGTGTATATCATATTATATATAATATACCTAGCATCTGAAAGAGGAAATAAGAGAGGGGGCCAGACGCAGTGAACGACAGTGTACTATATAACATACTGGAAGAGTTGAGACTTTTCTGCCATCATTTGAAATTAAAGAAAAGTTTCATTGGTGTGTACTATTGAAACAGTATGTGAGTATTACCAGTATGTGAGTATTACCAGTATGTGAGTATTACCAGTATGTGAGTATTACCAGTATGTGAGTATTACCAAAGCAGTTTCCCCTGATGCTTTTTTCTGTTGTCGTTGCATTCTCATGACATCTGGCACCGTGGCCACATGATACTGGTTAAAGAAATGCAAACAATCATTTTCTTTGCGTGTAGCAAGTCATCATGGGGTGGGGCAGGGTGGGGCGGGGTGGGGGCATTCATGCTGCACTGGTGAGATTACACAAGCCTCAGTCTGGCAGGGAGGGGCAGAGGAGGGGTGCATTGATTGATTAGGTTGATCCTCAGATGACCTTCTCAGGTTGAAGACAGTTGACTAATAGATTTTGATGGTACCCTCCCCACCCCCCCCCAAGACTTTTCTTTTTGCCTTTTAATTTAATATTCACTTTCACAGACCTAACCTGCTCAGCTGAGCACAGTAGAAGAACAGATAGAAGTTTTTCTAGCTAAAGCCACAATGTACATGCAGTACCACTACAACTGTTACTTCACTACCGTTCTGGAACCACACATTTTGGTGCTGGTACCATAGTTTAGGAACCATTGCATTGGATCAGTTCCCAGTCCAACAGAGCCACATTCATCCCGAGTTCTGACAAATAGAATGGTGTCAAAGTCCATTCCAAGTTCTGTGTTCACATCCTAGCACACTTCACTGCCATGAACCAGCAACGGAGAGACCCACATTTTCAGAATGTGATTTTAACAACACTCTTCTCCATTATGCACAGGTGCAACTTGTGTCCTGAAGAAAAAGTTTTCGTCTTCTCAGTTCTGGAACGACTGTCGAAAATACAACGTGACTGTTTTCCAGTACATTGGTGAACTGTGCAGATACCTCTGCAACCAGCCCAAGGTAACTCCTCAGTCTGCCTGGACATGCTGTGTGTTTGAACGGTTACAAACTAAGATGGTGGATTGTTGATTAATTCTTCAGTTTTTCCACAACTCTGGAGGAACCATAAGTGGTTTCTTTGTCTTTGTCCTTGCGTCCTCCCACTCTGGACTGTATGTCATAGTGTGAGGGCACAGCTCACCAGGGAGGACTCAAGGTCCTCTTTGTCTCCTCTGCCTCTGTCCCTCTGCGGTGGGGTGAAGGGCCGGCCGTCACTCTTCTCCGTACGTCCACGTCCTTTCACTGCACCGGTGTGTGCGTGCATGTTTGAGCGCACGTTATCAGTCTCATTACGCACAATAAAGTCAGTGGTAAGGGCTGCTAAGATGACACGTACACTCTGTGTGGCCACAGGTTTGTACAACACTTTTATTTCTCAGCCAGTCCAACCACCAAACGTGTTGTTGATTTGACATCGAATAAGATTTGAATGTAAAAGGTCCAACTTGATCAATCCTCCAGGACAACGGAGGAAGAAATGGAGGGATAAAAAGGATGGATAGCACTGTGGGGTGTGACGTGACAGGAGGACATCAGCAAAAGTTGACAGGAAAGTTTACGGGATAAGAGTGAGAGCTGCTGCCGTGGAACGTTTTGTTACTGTGACACGGTCTAAAAGACAGGAGGCTGATCTGGACGTGGCAGAGATAAAGACAAGTGTTTTCACTTGTAGTCACCGGGATTGATATGATTACAAAAAGGACAGCTAAGATTAACTGCTGTGAAGATCAAATTGTTTGGTAGAGATTAAAAATGTTCAGTCGATCCAAAAAACAAACCTTTCTTTGTGGGTTCTTCCTTAGTAGTGGCTGTGGGGAACTTAAACATAAAAAGCAACTTGTCCTGTTTAACATGTCATTATCAGTGGGGTACGTCTCTCCCTTCCACCTTGTTCCTTACCATTACTTGGTCTCTTTCTCAGACAGAGGCAGATAAAGTCCACAAGGTGCGGATGGCTGTTGGGAATGGTTTGCAGCAGGACGTCTGGCGGGAATTTCAGAGACGCTTTGGAAACATCCGAATATACGAGTTTTACGGCTCCACTGAGGGAAATCTGTGCCTAATGAATCATATTGGCAAAATTGGAACCGTGGGTCGATCCAACTTTATCTACAAGGTCAGTACTTGTTGCGCAGTACCACGACAAACTGCTTGTTTTTTACGTGATAGTGGATGATTGTCTTGGTTTTCAGCACAACAAAGTGTCGTTTGATGGTGACAACGGTTTTGGTTTACAACGTGACACATGCCGAGGGTTACAGTTTCAGTTCCTGCACTCACAGGTTTAGTACACAAGTGTACACTAAAAAGTCTATGACTTGATGAGACTTGATCAAAACAGTGACCCTGTCGTATAGAAATGAAGTAGTCAGCAGGCCAGTGGTGGACTGCTACCGTTCCGTATACAATTTAGTTCAGGTAAATGTGAAAATAAGGCTACTTGTTAACAAATATAGAACTGGGAGATTTAGTACGGCTCGTTCTAAAGGTTGTTATATTCTCTATACACTCCCTGCCTCGTCACCTGGACACTCCACTCCTGATGTCAGAGCCACTTCAACCCACAGATAGACCACTTCACTGTCTTTTCCCTAGAAACT